TCCGATGAGAAAACCACCGGCCATGATAATGGTGTGTGCCGCCATAACAGCCGATGGTCACTCTCCGCTCGTATTAATCGACCGTGGCATCAGAATAAATGTCGAATATTATCGCGAAAATATTCTGCAGGGTGTATTAAAACCTTAGGCAGGCAAACATACTGGACGCAGTCTCTGGACATTCCAACAGGACTCAGCACGCGCCACCTAAGAATGTTTAAAAAATGAGGTTCTTCGCTTCATTTCCAGCGCACAATGGCCAGCAAAATCTCCGAATAGCAATCCGTTGGACTATTGTGTCTGGCGTATTTTGGAAAGCAAGGTTGGCGCTAAAAAATACCAAAGTGACGATCACCTCAAGCAAGCGCTTCGCCGGGAATGGGCCAAAATACCGCAGAGCAACGTTCGGGTAGTGTGTGACGGTTTCATTGGCCGTTTGAAGGCCATAATTCGTGCCAAAGCTGACCAATTCGAACAAATCTAAACTTATTCTAAAATTTGATGCTATTTCCGACATTTTTTTGCTTTTATTCAAGAAAATTAATAAAAAATAAAAATTACGGCGTTTGATTTTTTTGCAGTTTTTTTTATCTCACCCTGTATATGTTTTATCCGATTTGGGGTTTTAAGTCCCTCACATGCGTTATATGCACTCCACAAGAATGATATTTGGTACCAGATATCATCACAGAAAGTAGTGTTTAACATATTGTAAAGACCGGTTCAGATTTGGATATAGCTTCCATATATATCTTTAGCCGGTTACGGGTTTTTTGTGCACCAAATGGCTAATATCACTCCAAATGACATCAATTGTGGCACATCCGACCGAATTCAGTCTAGAGCCAAATACATCAAATTTGAAGCAAATCGGTTCAGATATAGCAATAGCTCCCATATATATTTTTTTCCGATCTTGGGTTTTAAGTCCCTCATATGCGTAATATTCCCTCCACAACAATGATATTTTATACCGGCCATCAGATACTGCTCGAAAATACCTCTGCCAAATTTTATCGAGATCGGTGCAGATTTTTATATAGCTTCGATACACATCTTCATCCGATTTCACGGTTAATGCTCATGGTGTAAAAATTATTTCCCAAATATTTCAGGAGAAAGGAAATTATATTTTTTTTCATAATTTTCGAGGTAAACTTTTATGATTTTCCTTTTGAATTACCTTCATCTTCCCCTTTATTATTTCAAATTTCATTTAACCCATAAATTGTTTCTTTTGTTGTGGGATTTCTTTTTAAGGTTTTATGTTCGGTTTTTTTTGTTGTCATTGTTGCTATTAGTAAAAAAAATTTTGATTAAGCCTTTAGAAAATCTTGGGGATTACAGAAAACAAATACCAACAATATGAGGGTGGCGGTGTAGAATATCGAGAGTAAATTTTGGGTAAACATTTTTTTCATTTTGTGGTGGGCAGAAAAAGAAAATACCTACATTGGATATTTTACGGGACATGGGTTGTGGCATGAGGGTCATTCGGAATGTATGTGATGCTGGGTGGTTGAAAGGAAATGAACGGAAATTTACTTCCTTTTTAGGTGTAAATTGTGTCCTGTACAAGGGTGATGTTTGAACAAAAAAATCAGGAGGTTTATTAGCATTACTGGTTGAAATTAAGAAACATGTGTTTCAAAACAAACACAGACGACACAAACACAGGCAGTTGGAGATGGAGATAAACAAAAACACACCAACCAGAAATCCTTAAATATGCAAAACCTTGCTGCTGCCATTTGTCCGAAAGGCAGATTTAGATATTTGTTAGGGTAGAGGGGGGGGGGGGGGGGAGGTGGAAAAACAAATTGCATGGCTTGCCACCCTTATTTGAGTGTCGAATGCTTCGAATGCATTTTTCTTGTATTGATTTTTGCAAACATCCATTCTAATAGATTTTTATATGGCACTAATACCCTTAAATTACCAACAGATGACCCTTGATGATGATGATGATGATTTTTATTAGCGGCACTTTTAAGCCATTTCAATTTAGTCATCTATTGATGAAACCCAAAATGACAAATTACCCTTATCTGTTTAGTGCAAGCGATAGAGAGAGAAAGAGTGTGGAAAATCCTGGGTAATAACAATTACGGAGTAACGCCAATGAAGCATCCAGAATGGCTGGCAAATTACCCACCCTTGCCAAAAATTTGACCATTGCCAATTTCCACCCACCTTCAATAGAGCTACAACATAGAGACATGTGCCAATCAAACGCACAAAAAATCTGTTGCATTATTTCTGCTTAATCATTTACGCTGATATTTTATCACTGTGTTACTCACAGGGGTCGCTGGCTTTTATGTGTCCATGGATGCATGGATGGCTGGGGATGGGGGAAAATGTCAGTGACACTGCAGAAATTTTTGGTCCGCTTGTTTGTTTGTTTGTTTGTATACAAAAAATGCATTCATCATTCACTTGTCGTTTGAATGTTGCAAAATATTTTGTGGGTATCTTTTAAAACATATCTAAATCCCAATGTCAGTGTAAATGTGAATGAAGTGACAAACATATGGACAGACGACAATGTGACACACACACCCAAGCATCTGTGTGATTTTTTTTTTTTGTGCTGTTGTTGTTTTATATTTTTCATGAGTCCATGGATGCATAAATACATACATATGTGTATATTTTATGTTACTTATTTGGCCATTCATTATTTTTTTTTTTGGGGGGAAGGTTGTCGAATGCTGGATGCTCTGCCTCAATTAACACCACTCCCCCTTGATGTGTGCACAGAAATTTAGTTCAGTTGATTTTACAGACCCAGACATCTCCCCCAACAGACCTTGTCCTACACACACACACATACACACAATTTTGTGGTCCTTCTGTCTTTACTTGTAAAATCCAAATGAAAAAAATATTTATATATGTCCACATTTCATTTAAACAATGACATTTTTATTGAGTCACACTCTCACATATTTTAATTTAAATTGAACAAGATTTTCAAGTGTCAGTTAGTAAATTCTGAAAACCATAAAAGGAATCTGTTGGAAGCTATGTTTTACAAGTTAAGAAAAAAAAGAAATAATGTCAAAATGCTTTATAAAATGAAATTTGTGGGTAGTGAATGTAATTAAAAATAAATATTTTCAAATTTTCCAAGAAAAGAGACGGGAGGGAAAAAGTTATTTTTCTTGAAAGGAGGAAAGTTAAATATTTAAAAATTAAATATTATTACAAATTAAGATTAATTTTATGTAGGATATATCAGCCAAAAATGGAGCTTGCAAGGAGAATGGGACAGGGAATCAATATCGAAGATTTTATTAAGAGTTTTACTCTTCACTCATTTGTTGTATTAGAGAGAGCTCGCTAGTAACTGCTTTTTGAAAAATAATAGTGGAGATCGTATTCAAAAGTCGAAAGGTGAAAACATTAGAAGCAGAATATTGAAGCGACCAGTTGATTTTCGGTACAGCAAGAACACTATTTTAACCACTACTTATAAGAATATACATAGGATTGCATTGTAAGAACATATGATATTAAGAAACTTAAACGTGCTTATATTATATGTTCTTACAATTACAAAGTTGATTTTTTTTAATTTAATTTATTTTTTGTGAAAATAAACACAGTGGCGCCCAACGTTTATATACAGGGTAAGATAAGAAAACTGCAATCAACTTCAGACTGCCGTCATTTCTAAGCCACTCGTTCGACAGCTGTTAAAATTCTTCCAGTGACAGCTCATTATATTGTTTACAAGGCTGCAAAAGCATTTTGGTGAGAATTTTCCACAAAAAAAGTTATTCGTGATGGAATTCAAGCGTGATAGTATGATTTCTTTATATTTGGCTGGAAAACCACAAGTGGCTAGCGTTAGAGCACTCCAGCAATTAAATTTACATAAATCTTTTGTGTCTCGTATCTTCGCTCGTTACCGTGATACTGGTAGAGTAGCCCGATGTCAAGGAAGTGGACGGAAAAAAAACAGCAACATCAACAGAAATGGTTCGAAAAGTAAAGAAGGGACTTGATCGAAACCCGAGTCGCAGTGGCCAAAAAATGGCTCATGAGCTCAACATTCGAAAAATATTGAAAAATAAGCTCGGAGTAAAGCCATTGAGATTCCAAAAAGTGTAAGAACTTACACCGCAACAGAAAGAAAATAGACTCGAAAGAGCTAAAGAATTGTTTCGCTTGGCCGAAGTGGTGAACTGCTGAAATTGGTTTTCTCCGAAAAGAAAATATTCGTTGTCCAGCAGTTTGTAAACAAACAAAATGAACGTGTTTACTTGCCAAAGAGGTCAGATGAAAAGGTGCACCTTCGGTTGGCCACCAGAACTAAAGCGCCAACCATGGTTATGGGGTGGGCCGCTATAACAGCCGATGGTCGCTCTCCGCTGGTATTAATGGACCGTGGCATCAGAATAAATGCCGAATGTTATCGCGAAAATATTCTGGAGGGTGTATTGGGGTGCCTTGGGCACGCAAACATTTTGGCCGCAGACCTTGGACATTCGAACAGGAGTCAGGACTGATTTTAGCAATATTTTTCAATTGTTTTTTTTTTTAATGTGGAGGGTATTCAAAGTTCGTCTCGACCAAACTTACTGCTTATTTTCTTGTCTTCTTTTTTAATATATATTTATTATGTAAATTTTTACGACAAATACGGTTCCAAACTCAAAGACATATGAAATGGGATTCATTTTCAAATAATGTTTTTTTTTTGCTTTATATTTAGGTTATTATTATTTTCTGTATATCCCTACATATCACACATAATAAGGGATCCTATTAACAAATTCTTATTAGCCTTGTTAAGAGATTATGATGCCATTAATGTGAAAAAGGGCGAATGAGATCCTTTATTATCCCAACAAAACCTCATTTATTACTTTGGGATTTCACAAAGCAAATAATGCCTAATACACATCCTTATACATTTTTGTTATATAAAATATTATACATGTGAGCCAAAAAATGAATTTTACATCAAAAAAAGAAAATATGCTACTTACCAGCTTGTATTAATAATGGCAACATAACAATTGCCAGCATGGCTGACAAATATATGTCGAGTCCCATGGGACTCGAACGTTTTCTTGTCATTCTGTTTCTGTTGTTCTTAAACCCTAAAAAGAAATGAAAAAAAAGAGAGAGAAAAAATAAATAAATATGAATAAAATTGAAATTACATCGTTTTTTTTTGCATTAAAAACAAATAACAACAACAAGAACGAACACCGCCGTTTATTAGAAAAATAATAATGACACGTGTTTCCTTTATGCGAACAAATGAAAGACACGTGCCAGGTTGTATTTTTTATGCGTTCTCCCACAGGCAAATATAAAATGTATTAAAGGTTAATACAGTTGTTTTGATATAAAATAAATTGTGATTTTTTTTTGGCTGAGAAAAAAATTTGGGCTAAGAAATTTGTGATTTCCCATGGATTATGGCAAATTAGCCAAAGGATATTCTGGAAATGACGGGGCAATTTTTGAGGGAAAAGGGATTTTAGGTTTCTGATTGCAACTTTGCTATAAGATAAATGGCTGTAAAGCCAACTCTTATGAGAAATTGACCGAAAATGAGGTTATTTTAGATCTTATAAAGCAAGATCTTATAAAGCAAGATTGTGTATATAATTTAATGAAATATCCCAAAATATGCCAATATATATTTTCAAAGAGGGTTAACTTTTGTGGTACGTCTTAGTTTGATAATTTAATTATCTTTTTGTGAAAAAAAAAAACAAAGTGGCGCCCAACGTGGAGTAATTTTTTTCCTACATACGGATTATTGCTTATTATCCGAAGCATATTCTGGAAATGACAGGACATTTTAAGAAAAAAATATGTTTAGATTTTTTAAAGAAATATTATATTTTTTATATATAAAAATCTCATATGATAATATATATAAGATAGTGTTGTAAAAATAAATGAATTTAAGAAACTTGAATGTTCTTACATTTACTAACAGACAATTTTAAAGAGGGTTGAAAGTTCATTCTTTTAAATTTATTTATTTTGTGAGTTTAAACATAGTGGCGCCCAACGTGGGATCATTGTTTGCATACACATTTTTTCAAGTTTTGCTATGCAATTGAAACATTAAACTGTTAAGATCACATTTTTGAAAGAAAATCGAGGCATTTCATTCATATTTAGTCATTTAAAAAAGAAAAAATATCAAGTTAATGAAATCAATCGGTTGCATATAATTTTGAATAATTCTGACAGGAAGCGGTCATAGCGGTCAGGGCTGTATTTATGTAGGTTTAGGAAGCTGATCTATCTTCCAATTGTACCATGGTTCTTATAGTAAATTTAAAGTCTTGTGTTTATTTTTTTGTGAAAATAAAACAAAATGGCGCCCAACGTAAGGCCATGGTTGACATTCATATGTTTATAATGTGACAAATATTATTAAAAATTCATAAACATATGATGGGATACAATGTTTTTGTTGGTATGAATTTTGTAATTTCCCATGGAATATTGGAAATTTATCCAAGAAAGAAAAAGGGTTTTCAATTTCTGATAAAAATATTAGAAACAAGCTCTTGTGAGATATTTTCTGAAATTGAGTCATTTTTGGTTATTTAACGATTTTTTTGTGAAAAGCAATGAAGTGGCGCCCAACGTGTGACCATTGTTTATTTACATATATTATTATATATGTATATATATTATTAAGGTGTAAAATATCTATAAGTGTATTTAATTATGAACTCCGAAACAATGAGACCTCAAAGTGGGATCTCCATATGGCTATGGAATATATAGTTAGAAAGGGGCTGGTTATGTTCCCTAAAAATAAGAGAATTTTGATCTGTTATTTCTTTCCACACTCTTTTTATACTCTCCATAATGGAAGGGAGGAGAAACTTGGCCCAATAGTTTGTAGTGTGTCTAGGATGCTATGTTGCTGTTACGAATGGAACATATCGGTCCACGTTTTCTTATAGCCCCCATTAAACGGAACCTCCCAATATTCGGTATTTTGATGATTTTTTCACAGAATTATTCCAAATTTATAATTAAGAGTTTGTAATGGATTATACTCCTGGTGGCAGAACATTACTCGCATAGGTCCACGTTTTACAATGACCCACACATAACAGTACCTGCCGATCACATTCACATAATGTTCCAAATTTAGTATTAAGATTTTGTAATGGGTTATACCCCTGGTGGCAGAACATTGCTTGTATAGGTCCAATGAGCCGCATATGACAATACCTCCCGTTATTCGGTATTTTGATGATTTTTGCCAAAATTTTTCACGGAATTCTTCCAAATTTGGTATTAGGAATTGGTAACGGATTCTACATCTGGTGACAGAACATTGTAAATATGGGTATACGTTTTCCTTTAGCGCCTATATAACGGAACCTCCCGATATTCAGTATTTTGCTGATTTTAGACACATTTTTCATGGAATTCTTCCAAATATAAGTATCCTGTTTCTTATAATTTCATTTTTTTACTACAACATGTAATCTGTCTCGGTTCCTTCTAGTTTTATTTTACTGCAATTTGTTAGAACATATCAAAAATAAAAAAAAAACTTTTTCTTCCGTCAATTGGTAACATATCACATAACTACCCACCTCACTCCCAGCCACCAATCATCCCTCAGCTCCTTTTTGAAATGGGAAGTTATTTGAAGTTTTATCCCTGCAACTTCCATTTACAACTACAATCAAGAAAGAACATTAGCGTTGATAAAACTTCGATAACAACTTAAGAAGCCAAAAAACTGTCACTGGTCATTTTGTAAATAATAAATCATCAACCACTTTGTTGAGATAAGAAAATATGTACTCCAATTCCGCATTGGATGACATTTCATTTTTCCATCATGTGCGGAGGGGGGGGGGAGGGGATAAAAAGAAAAGTGCAAGAGATCATAAAAATAACTTTGCCATATAGCATTTCTTATCGCGGCCAAGGAAGGTGTCCTCTTCCTGCCAAGTGAGAAAGGCAAAAACCAAAGAACCTTTTATGCTTTTAGTGTCTGCCAGTAATGTGTCTGACTGGCTTGCTGGCTGGCATTTCAGCTAGTTGAGCTCAATTAGATGCTCATATTTGCTTTTAATCAAGTCTCTGGGGATGCAACACGTGAGCATATCAAATGAAGTTTTATTGCATGCCGCATAGGGGATACTTGCTGGTCCATTTTCATGGCATGTTTTTTTTTTTTTTTTGCCACAACCAAAGAGAATGGGGGGAGGGGGTATTTATTTCATTTCATTTGATTTCTGTTGACATTTGCCGTGGTGGTTGGTTTTGATTTTGCTGGCTCTTAACTAGACAAATATGTTGCAAATATTTTATGATTATCCTGGTTGTGTCACTTGGCGAAGTGGGTGGGTAGATGTACTTCCTCGGGTAATATATTAAGTAATGTCAACAGCAGAAAAAGGAGGAGGACTGGCGGGGGTTTCTTGCAAGGGGATACGCTGGTTTTGCCATGAAAACAAGGAAATAATAATCGTCATTTTTTCTCATTAAGAAATACCGAATTTCTGTTAAAAGACGGGCAAAAATAAATTTCATGATTTAAAATTTCGAAAATGTTTACATTTTTTTTTGTGCGGGAACGTACATAATGTTTTTCTATTTGTTTTGAATATTGCTTCTATTCAGCACTGGAGCCGTTAATCGTGCCATAAAAATAAATCTCATTTGTTTGGCATCCACACACATTAGGAAATTGCCAATGCCGACACTACCATACAGACCTCTTGACTGAGTGACTGACAGAGAGACGGACAGACAACACAATTTGGTGCCGGCAGTTCTGCATAGTGGCTGATCGATCAATCTAGCCATAGATACACTATTGATCGCTCAATTGTCAGAATATAGCATTGGACTCCTCTTAGCCGCAAAATCAAATTAACGCATTTCCAATTTCTAAAACAAATGTATCGACAGAATGCAGTCAATGGACGCTGGTGAAGAAGATGAAAGATGAAAAGATCGCAATGAAAAATAAACATTAGAATGGTATTAGAGTCGGCAATGGATTTTCCGCATGGTAAATTCCATAAAAAAAAACAAATATTCAATGATTGTGGTTGGTCTGAAGTGTTGTTGTAGCGAAAGAAATTGCACAAAGAAACAAGAAAAATACAATTAAATTGGCACATACATCGACGATCCATCTATCTTTCAGAATATGTGGTATATAAACTGATAGCAGGATAAAATACATAAACAACAACAACAACAACAACGAAATTCAGATTAAAAACAATTGAAATGAAATTAGGTTTGTGGTTTAATAGTGTTTGGGTTAAAAGGTCCTCTCTTTCTCTCCATGCCAATGGACCACAACAAAATGGTAATGCAATTTTCCACGAGACAGAGAGCGGCAGAATATTATGAAATTCTGGAAGATTTATGTGTAATATAATGTGGTTTTCAAAGGAGTTGGATGAGTGTAATAAACGCTTATAGATCTATTGAAGTTTGATTTATTTCTCGGAAATCGGAAAAAAACCAAAAACAAAGATTGGTCAAGAATATCACAATGTGGGGAGTAATAAGGAAATGCAGGAAATATTGTAAGACAATAGAGGAGATTTTATATCAAAACACAAATTGAGAGCAAAAAAACCTAATAATTTTCAGAAAACGAAAATAAAAAACGTGGACCTAATATTGTATTTCCCCGCCGTTACCAGTGCCAAAGATTGGTCAAGAACATCACAATGTGGGGAGCAATGAGGAAATGCAGAAAAAAATTGTAAGACAAGAAAAAAAAGTGTTATATGGGAGTTGTCCATTATAGAGGAGATTTGATATCAAAATACAATTAAGAGCAAAATACCATAACATTTTTCAGAAAACCAAAATAAAAAAAACGTATCATATTTCCCTGCCGTTTTTAGTAATTTTGATAATTCATAGCATGTGATTTACGTATAATTGCAATGAGCAGTTTTGCTGATGAGAGAGGTTAGGAAATTAGACTCATTTTCTCTCAACGAATTTTCTCATCGACAATGTGACAATACCCGCAAAAACACTCACTCACACTCAATAATCGGGTTACCAACCCAAAGAAATGTCGGAAAAAAATATTTGTAATTTTTGCCCACTAAAGGTCGATGAG